GGGATCAGACAAGACATTGTCTTTTTCAAGAAATAATTTGATCTAAAGTACTAATGGAGAATAACACTAATTTAGAAAACTCAAACAGCTTCCATGATGCATGTTGTAAACCTCTCACCTCAATTACTCATTCTCTGGTCTATGGACTTAATATATCTTACGGTGCTAAGGTTATAGCCAGCATTACAATGCTAGATAGATAAATTTGCTCCAAGCCAATTGTGGCATTTATCCATTCAGAATTGAATCAAGAAATAGGCAAACCATATTTACAGAACACAAGAAAAATTCCCTGGTTGTTTCATATCAGCCATGCAAATAAGCAACTGAAATGCAACAAAAATATAAAAAGAAAATACAAACGCAAGAAAGGCATTCTGCTTACATCACCAACATTGAGATCCAGATTTCCATGAGTGTTTCCATTTCCAGATGCATTTTTCTCATCATTAGGAATCCACTTGGAATTGCTACTCTGAGGCCCATCAGAACCATTGTTGGGGCTCTTAATGAACATTGCATCAGTAACTTGATCCCCTAGGTCCATAGATTCATTGGTCATGCTGGCACTTTCTGAAATATTTTCCAGCTCTGCACTAGATGTCTGGTGCCTCTCAATTTCCAGTCTTAAAACACGTTTCACAGGTTTATGGACCTTGCGTTTAGGATCCTGTTATAATAAAGAAAAAAAAAAAAAAAAAAAAGAAGAGTGAAGTAGAAAATCAGAAGCCATTGCTGCATAAATGACAAAGCACCAAAAAGGAAAAAAGAAGAAAAAGAAAAACAGGGGATGGAGATGCTGAAAAGCTTACTCTAGAAAAAAAAAATGCATATAAATACTTTTAATTAGTGAAAAAGGTAATTACGTGCATTTCTATATCCAAAAAAGGATAAGTTCTCATAAAATATCTAGAGAACATTTCAGATTCTTCATTTCTTTGACCTCCCTTTTTTCACAGCATTTCTTTGGCAGAGTTGTTTTGGGTTTTTTATTAGCACCTCACTTTCTTCCAAACTTTCTTATAAGCATTTCAAATGCTAAAAAGTAGAATTTCCCTCCAATACTTCTTTAGACTTCTGAGAGAAAAAAGTGCTTATAAACAAGTTGAAGGATAAGCTCTGCCAAACAAACAGTCATTGAGGGTCATTAGCTCCTTTGCACTTATCAGTCAAATGCATGCACATTTGTTAAAGCTAAGGTATAACACGATACTATTTTCAAATACTTCACAAATGACCCCCTCCATGCCTCTTATCTGCGAAGATATCTTAATCACAAAGGCAGATAAGAAATGTTATAAAATTGTCTCGTTTGATGAAGTATTCCATAAGTTGATCAGTACAACCTCCAGTTGAGAGCAAATTTTGGTTCACAAGTTAGAATTACATCATTATTTGTTTCACAAAA